GTATGTCATGTCCGAGGTTAAAGCCCAAGGCTTCGTCAAACCAACCCCCATCCAGTCACAAGGCTGGCCCATGGCTCTCTCTGGACGTGATGTCGTCGGTATCGCCGAGACCGGTTCCGGAAAGACTTTGACCTACTGTCTTCCTGCCATCGTTCACATTAATGCCCAACCTCTTCTTGCCCCTGGCGACGGCCCTATCGTTCTCGTCCTTGCACCAACACGTGAGTTGGCCGTCCAGATTCAGGCTGAAATCACTAAATTCGGCAAATCGTCCCGTATCCGAAATACCTGTGTTTACGGCGGTGTCCCCAGGGGCCCACAAATCCGTGATTTGACCCGGGGTGTCGAAGTTTGTATTGCTACCCCCGGTCGTCTTATCGATATGCTCGAGTCAGGGAGGACCAACCTTCGCAGAGTTACCTACCTCGTCCTCGATGAGGCTGATCGCATGCTGGACATGGGTTTCGAGCCCCAAATCCGCAAAATCATCGGCCAGATCCGTCCCGACCGACAGACTTGCATGTGGTCTGCAACTTGGCCTAAAGACGTCCGCCAGCTTGCTAATGACTTCCTTCAAGACTACATCCAGGTGTATATCGGTTCGCAAGACCTTTCTGCTAACCATAGGATTACCCAAATTGTCGAAGTGGTGTCGGAGTTCGAGAAGCGTGATCGAATGATCAAACACTTGGAACGTATCATGGAGGACAAGAAATCGAAGGTCCTCATCTTCACCGGTACAAAACGAGTTGCCGATGACATCACCCGATTCCTCCGTCAAGATGGTTGGCCAGCGCTTTGTAAGTCAATAGCCTTATTTCCAAGCTTTCAACGGAGCACTTAAACTAACACTCGTATTTCAGCTATTCACGGTGACAAGCAACAAAGCGAGCGTGACTGGGTATTGAATGAATTTAAGAGTGGCAAGAGCCCGATCATGGTGGCTACTGATGTAGCTTCGCGTGGTATTGGTATGATAAATCTGCAAACCCCCTCCCCCTCCCCTCACCATACTCCCTTTCCATCATGTCATAGACGATGCTCTATCTTGAGCCAATGCTGTTGACGTGTCACCCATATTGATGTCGTGTGAGCGACTCAAATGCTTTGCTCTCATAACATGTTGGTAAACATGACTTCTTGGGCCTTCCTTATGGTTTATTATCCAAGGAATCCTTGGCCTTAGGATGCAGTGTAGCATTCCGTGCTTCCGATGATGCCTCTCTAATCTGTAATCCACACCAGGAGAGAGGTTAAGTTCTATTTTTTGAACTTTTTCAAACTGCGTCTCTAAGTTTATCCAGGACCAAGAGTAACTGTCAAACCCATGGACTCGTAAACAGGTGGATTCTGAAATCAGTCCGAGAGAGTTATGCATCGAGTCCCACACGACGGAGAAAAGGGCTATAGCCATTTGTTTCTCTCGTCTATCTTTAATGTTTGCTAATACTAGTTGTGTGAAGATGTTCGCGATATCACTCATGTGCTCAACCATGATTATCCGAATAACTCGGAAGATTATGTTCACCGTATCGGCCGTACTGGCCGTGCTGGTGCCAATGGTACTGCCATTACAATGTTCACCACTGAGAGTATGTTTATCCCCGTCCTATCAGTTACCCCAACTTGTTACTTGGCCCCAAGGATTCTAACTTCTCTTTCTAGATGCTAAACAAGCCCGTGACTTGGTTAAGATTCTCACAGAATCTAAGCAGCAAATTGATCCCCGTCTTGCTGAAATGGCTCGCTACGGCGGTGGCGGTGGCGGCGGCCGTTACGGCGGCCGTGGCCGTGGCCGTGGTGGTTTCACTGCTTCCAACTCTGCTCCCCTTGAAACCATCGAAGATGGTAAATCACGTAGACCCGCTACGCTAGGCTTTTTCAAACTTACGATTCACTGTATTGAGATATTTCCCACTCATATTCGATACCTATCAGTTTCCCG